AATTTTTAAACATTAACAGATTAATAATTTGATCAGTTACTCAGTACTTGAGTAAATGTTTTACCAAATACATTTTTACTCTCTAACTTGAGGACAATATTTGAATACATGTAATATGAGCAGCACAGTTCTAGAATAAGAATCGGTCCCCTTTCTGTCTGCTTGTTAATATTTAATGGAGTTAAACAGTAATTTGAGAAAAATGTTTTTCTCATATGTCTGTGTTTTTGTTTCCTGTCAACAGGACATCGCCTTGTTTAAGGAATGCTACTTTCAGGGTAAGTTGTGCATTTTATTATTCATAGTGTCAATATAAGTTACTAAGCCTTTGAATTCCTCTACTGTCAGTATTTCCTTTCAGCTTTTAAAGGAAATGGGTCAGAGAGACTAATTATTGTTTAGTCCATCCGGCTCCAACTTCCCCTTTAACACTGACATTTAAAAACCAGCGCTGTCCAAACCCTTCTGATCAACATGAACAAGTAAAAACGCTTCATTTTTTTCAGTACCTTGAGTTTGGTTTAGTCAAACTAAACAGTTTATGGGGTGGAGCTTTGTATGCATGAAAATACAGACTTGTCATCTAATAACAGAGTGCAGAGCAGTTATTGTCTGTTCAGTTAATTATGAGGTTTAGATTTAAGGCGTCTCTGCTGCTCCAATAGACTTGGTGTACAAGTTCCTCATAAACTTAAATGTTTGATTTACTTTTTACTCATCTGGAAATCATTTACGTCAAATACTTTTCAAAATACTTTTGTGTTTAACGGTTTCTGCTACAAGAAAATACCTACTTACTTCAACCTGCCAGTTTTTTCTTAAAGAAAGAATAACAGGTCACCTGAAAGATGATTTGTGTCTTTAAGCAATTACTTCATAGCAGCTTTGAGCGAATGCCAAGCTTCCTGTTTTGTGTTTTTTAGTGCATGAGCGCGACCTGGAAGCAGATATTGAGAGTGATACGAGCGGAGACGTTAGAAACCTCCTCATGGCTCTGCTGCAGGTACGCAGTTTCCACTCAGCCCAGGAAACAGAACTCCTGCAGTGAAACAGAGCTCACTCTCACTGTGCCCCATCATGGCCCTCACACACACTTTCTCTCTCTCTCTCTCTCTCTCTCTCTCTCTCACACACACACACACACACTGGCCTCAGTTCAGCCTGACTCAGTTTACTGCACAGTCATGGAGCCTCACATCTCCTCTCCTTACAGGGAAACAGAGATGAGAGTTACGACGTGGACGAGGATCTGGCGGAGCTAGACGCCATCACCCTGTTCGATGTGCTGCTTTCATCCTCACATTTACAAAAATCTATAAGTAATAATCAATAACAATCAACTTTATTAACAATCACTGGTGTCCTGCAGGCTGGCGAGGGTCACTTGGGGACAGATGAATCCACCTTCAGCAGCGTCTTGGCCAGCAGAAACTACCTGCAGCTGCAGGCCACCTTCAAGAAATATGAGAAGGTGCTAAACTGCTGCAGCAGATTATATGTTCAGATTATCAATATATCTTTTACTTACTCTGTAAAAGTCAATGAATTGTGGAGTGAATCAATAACCTTGATTTCAGTACAGAAGAGGATTTAGTCACTGAAAAAGTAGAACAATGACTTTAATCTCAGAAGAGTAAAGTTATAATTCTCACAAAAAAAATAATAATTCTGAGATTACGGTAATTGCAAAATTCAGAGGAAAAAATATAATCCTGAGATTGCAGTCATAGTTCTGCAAAAAAATTATAATTCTGAGATTAAATTTAGAATTATGCAAAAAAAGATTAATTTCATAATCCTGAGTCGATCGGTCTCAATCGGCTCTTCTGCAGTTTTCCTCAAATCATTTTTATGACTTTTTGAAGCTGCTAACAAAGTTTATTTCTGGCAGCTTTCTGGAACTGAAATCCTGGACGCTATTGACAACGAAACCTCTGGAACGCTGAAGAAGTGCTACACTGCACTTGGTAAAAAAGAGATTAAAAGTTTTTTAACATTTAGATTTAAATTAAATGTTTAAAGTCTTAAATGTTGGGTCTTTTTTTTTGCCCTGCAGTCAGAGTGGCTAAAAACCCGCAGCTCTACTTCGCCAGGCGTCTGCACAAAGCCATGAAGGGAGCAGGAACAGATGAAGACACCCTGATCCGGATTATCGTGTGCCGCTCTGAGGTAATTACTCTGCTGTCCACCAGGTGGAGCCAAATCCACAGAGAGGAGTCCATCTCTGAAGTTTCTCTGTGTTGGAGCCACAGGAGATGAGGAAAAAGAGTAAATTTATGACAGAAAACTCAGACATTGTCTGGAGAAAAAGTCTGAAATGTGGAGCTCAGTCACAGAAACTTTTATGTTTTTTTTTTTTTTTAAGATTTCTGAGATTAATCTCAACATTTTTGAGTTTTTTTCAAGCAGATTTTTGACTGTCCAAATGCAGAACTGTCCATGTTTTCTGAAAAATGTGAGATTAATCTTTTTTTTTTCAGAAATTCTTTACTTTTCTAAATCAGAGATTTTCTTTAATTAATTCAGCTCAGTTTTTCTGAGTTTTTCCTAGCATTTTATTTTGACTTTTCAAACTCATGAATTTCCAATTCAATAAACTTACAAAAAACTCATAGAAAATAATTTGTATTAAAACTTTTTGATAGGGTTGAAACGACTAATCAGATTAATTGAATTAATCAATTATTTAGATAATCAGCAATTAATTTAGTAATTCATTAATTATTAAATGGAGAATAAAGACTCTAAAAAATTGAATTTAATGAATTATTAATCAATTTATCCAAAATGTAATCAACAGATCGGCCCTACACTGTTTTCATGTTAAATTAAATTGTGGATTTAATTTTAAAATCAGTAATTGTTTTTAGCTGCAGACTCATTATTTGCTAAAGGAATGATGCTACTTCATTTTAGGCAATGAAATATTTATTTTTATAATTTAAAAAAGGAACTTCATTTTCTTGTTTGTATTTTTTATGTATGAAACATGAGGTTAAATAAAAAATTACTAAACTAATCTATAGATGTGCTCACTCCTGGGCTAAACTTCTTAACTTTTCCTTTCAATTTCTTGTGCCACCCCATGATGAAATGCCACCCTGGGCAGTGTGCCACAATCTGGTTTGATTGTCAGGAAACTTATCTCACCAGACAGATAATTTCTCTCATTTCCCCCATCAGTTCGACTTGGAGACAATCAAAGACGAGTACCTGGAGAAGTACGACGTGTCCTTGAAGGACGCCATCCGGGACGAGTGCAGCGGCGACTTCAAGCGCCTCCTGCTGGCCATTTGCCACTAGAAGCTGCAGGAGTTTTCATCTAGCCGACTGAAACTCCTCAGACCCTGAAAGGCATTAAGACAGAGCAGTTATTACTAACCTCCCTTAAACAGGGATCCATTTCTAGTTCTTAACATTTATAGAGACACTAATATTTCTGTGTTTGTAACAAAAGTGAAACCCCGCTGATGTCACAGTGATGTCATAAATCACGGCCCTCTTCACTGCTGCTACCACTTATGCAATCACTCCATTTGGAATGAAGTTTCTGCTTTTCTTGAAGGTTTTGACTGTTAATGAAGGAGCTATCGTAAAAGAAACAAGTCATTTTTGAAATTATCATAATTTGCTTTATGTTGCGTCTTTTCTCCATCTTCAACTACAACATGGCCAAAGCACAAAATCTTAAGTAATTTTAGCTTACTTTATGGTGCAAATATTGCAGTTGAAATCAAGACCAAACTAATTTAGAAACATGAAGGACTTTAATTTAATAATTTCTTTAATATCCATGAAAAAGTTCTAGTTCTAATGGTAGATAATTTTACATCTAACAAGACATTTTTTCTGTCATAAATGAACTAATCTGCTATTATTTACAAAAGAAGTTACTTGTAAGTTAGTTTGTCTTTTTTCAAATGTACTAAGATATTTGCATTAAAAACGAGACTAAAATGACTTGGTAAGATTTTGTGTTTTTGCAGTGCATGCCTTGACAAATCCAAGTGCATTTGACCTGATTACATCCTTGTTTTGTATTTTCTTCCTAACAAAGATTAGTATTAATATATATGTAACTACAGAGCCAGTGCAGATGTTATACTGTATCAACTGTGTTTAGATTATCTGAATTTAACACTGACATAATCTGATGAGTTTCTTGTTTTTTATTTGTGTCTATTTATGGCAGCTTAAATTTCAACATTAATAGACACAATAAATACTGACAACATAAACACTCTGTAGCCAAAGAGTTTTAACTTAATAAAGTTTACTGTATAATCAGTCTTTATGGGTTTATTTTATTTCTTAGTCCAGATTTCACTGGTGTAACTGGAGCATCTCTAATTATAATCAAAAAGTTAATTTATTCATTTCAGAAACACACAGATGTTCTGTGATTTTGATTTTGGCTCACAAATGCAAATTAACAATGAAACAGATTAAATGATCACTCTGCTTCATTTATATTTGGATTAATGAGTCACAAGAATCAATCAGCTTCCAATGTTGCATTGTTCCCAAATTTTCCAAAAATCCATTCAGGGTTCTTAAATATGGCTCCGATATTTTCAGATATGTATCTTTATTACCTTATAACGTGAACCTTATGTTGTAAGAACGTGATAGGGATAATTTCATATCCGGAGGTGGCGGTATTACGCTTTTAGTACAGGCATAAAAACAAGGCTATAAATTAAAAGCTTGAAATAACACAAGAACGAACAAAAGTCATAAAACTGAGGAGTTGCTTTCACTGAAGCTTGTGTGTGTTTCGGGTTAGAATGTATCTAGGTTAGGAATTGCATGATATGCTATTTTAAACTGTATCTCTAGCGGTTTTAGATTACAAAACAGTCTGATTGTCAACTTTAACAAACAAAGTAGGAAATATTTGGTCTACTTCGTTTCAAGGAATCGATACAAATCAACTCTTCCCTTTTAGTTGTCACAATTCCGACATTCAGTGAACGCAGCCGTTAGCTCCGCCCCTTCCCTCAGACATGCCTGGTGTGGTGTCGCATTTCGCCTCCTCTCTCTGTTTATATTTCCATCAAACGGGGAGTTGTGTTTCAAATTAACGCCGTAACAAACCTGGAACATAACCAGACTCTCTCTGAGCATCTGGACCCAGTTCTAGGTAGGTTATTCTGCGTGTTTTACCGGCCGATTTCCTCCGTTTCCCCCCGTATTTTGATGGTAATTACGGTGATTAGCATCCATGTTGGTTGTAGGTAATTGAAACCTCTGCACGAAGGAAGGCTTTCCTCTTTGTATAGGTGTAATCACGTTATGCGGATGCTTAATAATTTCTGTTATTTTAAATATTAATTTGATCAAATGTATCCGGAGAATACATCTTTATAGAAAATGGATTAAGCCGACTTGTAATGATTTATTCTGGTTGGAAGTGAGACAGATAAATTGGTAAAATAACGTATAAATAATCTTTGTAAACGTTGTATTATGCCATTGTTATAACCAGAAAACACAGTTATTATGATGTAACATTAACACTGGCTTCAACAGTTTGATGTCAAACACTTGAACACACCACTTCAAACAGTTTGTGTCCAGCATGTGTGGGGTCTGCAGCCCATTTCCTGATCCCAGGCTCACACAGGTCCTGGATGGAGGAAAGCACCAAGAACAACTGTGCAAAAACCTCTGAAGAAGAAGACAACTTTCTTCTTCACGAAATGTAAACAAAAATACATTTTTGTATTTTTAGCAGGATTTTTCTTTTGTTTTTGGTCATAGACCATGAGCCATTTCTCTTGCTAGTGCTAGCCTATGGCATTTATTTTGGTTGTATTTACCCAGAATGCTCTGCGTTGCAGCCCACTTCCTGCTTCTGTAGTGGTCTCTTTGCTTTACCTTCACATATGCATTCGACCTTCACCATAGTTCACTTTAACTGAACCAAGACAAAGTTTGTTTACACCCTCAGTGTCCTAATCTTGAATTTTAGTATTTTCTGTAATTTCCCACTTGGGATTAAGATCTAACCTGGTTGCTTATTTTACTGGACAAATAAACAACCAACTATAAACATCAATGCTAAACGTTAGGTAACGCTAAGTAAAGACATTAGAGGAAACTGCATTTATTTTTAATTTTTTGCAGTGAACTTGAAGTATCTCTATTCAAAGAAAACACAAATAAACATGTTTTTTTTTGGTGAATTACATCATGAAAGATGTTAGTTGCTTTATTACCAGGGAGATCTGAACAACTAAAAATGGATAAAGTAATTGTTGGAGACTCATAAACTCATGGTTAACACTCATTACTTCAGCTTATTTAACGTTGAATTGACATTTTCCCTTTAAATATGCTTTCATTATCTGTCAGGTTGTTATATATTAGTTTTTTCTCATCCATTTGACCTGATCAGTTGGAATAAAGTGTCTTTGTGAACATAAAACGAGTTAATAACCTGTCATTTGACTTTCTGCGTCATCATTTCATTGGAATCTCTGCATGAAGAGTCATGTTGCAGTTCCTCATCATAAAGGTGGATCCACTTTTCCTAAATGTTCTGCTAATTACAAGGTCTTAATTACAAGTTACAGATGTCACAGTTGCATGGGCTGCTTCTTGTTGCTACAGAAACAGATTCAGCTAAAGTGTTTTTTCCCCCTCAAGCAGCCAGTTGTTGATGTTAACAGCAGCGTCAGTCAATGTTGGGGATTTCCCCAGCATTTTTTGCCTTTAACATTGCTGTTGGTCCAATAAGTAAAACCGGCGATATTAACAACTTGTGCTTATTTCCATCTTGTTGTCCTTTATGTTTCAGGAGCAAACGAATGTTAAGCATCTGGTTTTTGTTTGGTCACGTAACTGTGACATTGTAAGATGTTTAACTGAAACCGAGAAGCAATGTCTGTGTTATGGTCACTTTTTACAGTGTTAAAGGTTAGGAAAGAATATTGAATATTGGTTATCAGCATCATAGCAGAGCTATCGCATTCATTTCAGTCAATGTTTCTCTTCTCTTTTCCTTGGTTAGATTAGATGTCGTCCATGTGGCAACAGGAGCCATCCGGTTATTCCCCATGTGTGGAGATCGACTCCAGCTCTGTCAGGTCCAAGGACCGGCTCGGCTCTTCGAGCTGGCTAAAGCAAGAGCAGGATGAGCTCCGGATAATCAAGTGGGAGAACTTCCAGGGCGGAGCGTCCTCCGACGCCGTTCAGGACAACACTCCCAGCAGCGCCATGTCTGGTAAGAGCTGAATGTCTTTTAATCATTCAATCACCAAATTCTCATAAAATAAATTATTTCTCTTCGTAACAAGAAGCTTCGTCATTCGAAGGCTTGCCGCCGAGGGTGCTGCTCACCATCACAAAACTGCAGTGCATGCTGGAGAGCAAGCAGGAGCGCATTGCTGCACTGGAGCGACAGGTGGAGGACTTGATGCAGGATCGCAAGTTTCTGCGCAGTCAAATCGAAAACCTCACCACCAATCGCTCCATGGCACCGTTTGTTGCACCCAGTTCGGCCACTGAGGGTCAGTAAATGCAGCTGAAGGAAGCTGTCTTAACGGACTAAGAGGTTTTATTTTGGTGTTTTGTGTCTTTAGCTCCCAAATCAAGCAAAATGCAGCATTCAGAAAACAAATCTCGAAAGAGAGAAAGAGCTTCTTCTTCTTCCTCGGCCAGCAGCGTCAGCGGCTCGGAGGCGTCCGACTCCTCTGACGCGTCGGCGGCGTCGAGTGAGCACCGACGGAGAAAACACCACAAAGACAAGAAAAGGTCAAAGAAAGGGAAAGACTACAGCAGGAAGAGAGGTAATGAACAGATGAAAGGTTAATATAACACATCTGATGCAAAGCTAAAGCATCATTAGCTTGACCTCATGGTGCTTCAGCAGATCTGTTTGAGCACTTTATAGATATTTCCACATAAGCTGTAATAAACAAAACCTGTTTTTACATAAAACTTCCAACAAAAAAAACATTTTATTCTGAATCAGAGTGAAATTAGGTGAGTTTTTGTTACACAAACAGAACTGAAACTGGCCCTGTTGCACCTTGTTAATTTTAATTTAACAACAAGTACACAAAGTGGATCAACAGGAAACCTTATATCAGTAGCTGCTCAAACTGATAAAAATAGATAAAACATAAAGTTTTATCAAATGAGCCCCTCCTCCACTGTGCTTGTAAGTTGGTATTCACTTAAAGATGACCAGTAGCGCCCTCTGCTACTGCAACACTAAAAGAAAGTCCAAGTGGACCTTATTAGTTAAACCATTGAACCTAAATTTAATCTAATACAACACAAAGTGAGAATCAATTGTAAACTAATGCGTAATAGCATCTCATGTAGCGTCTTGTTTGTTTTTGTCCCATCAGCCACTGGCGTCCTGTACGTCATTAACCGCTACAAACAGGTCCTCTCAGCCTTCATCAAGAAGAAGAGCATGAGCGAAGCCTTCCGTCACCACGGCATCGACAGGAACACCATTGCCAACACGGCATCCATCGCAGAGCTGCACCTTGCCGGGAAGGAAATGATCCCCCTGGTGGGCCAGTTTCGGCAAGGAGAAGAGACTCTGGTGAATTATGCTCAGAGATGCACCCTGGTCATCGACAGCGACCCCGAACTGTCCAGAAAAATCGACCAGATGAAAGCGAACGGCCAGCTGCTGCCCATATCAGGGAAGAGGTCCAGGGTGCTGCATTCTCACATGCAGCCACTAGGGGACGGTACAGAGAGCATCTTAATAGGCTGATGCTAAAAAACACTGATGGGTTTTCTTTCAGTTGAAGCTGCTGTTTTATGTGGCACATCCTGTAATTATTCTAATTATTCTTTTTTATTTGTCTCTTATTATTTTTGGGGAAAATGTGGCAGTTAAACTCAGAAGGTTTTATCTCTGTAATAGCGGAAATATCCACCAGATGGCAGCATTCACCTGTTACTTGATTCTCATAAATTATTTCAAAATGGCGGACTTTCAGGCTTCTGTTTCCCAATTACTTGATTTTTAATAGTTTTATAATTTTTGTGATAAAAATTCATTATGAAAAAGATTTAGCTATTTGCCTCAGTTTACATTCAGGACGATTTAAAATGAGCCTGACAGAATAATACAGCCATATTTAATACGTTTTAATGAGGCCGGTTAAAAATACCCTTTTGGCAGGAATTAAACATACTTATCATGAAACCCACTTTCCTTATTTTATATCTGATTTCATATTCTAATTGTAAATGTGTTGTCTTCAGAAAATCATTACAATTAACAGAAATAAAAGCTGCAAAACAACAGTCTGGCTCAAATTAATATAATACATGTATCATATATGTGTAAAGTGTATATACTGTACATGTATATATTATTTTTAATTGTAAAGAAGCTGAAAAGTGTGGCATGCATTTGTTTTTGAGTCAAAACTTTGTAGAACTGCGTTTTGCTGCAATTCTACCTCCAAATGTTTGGATCAAAGACTTTACATTCATACAGTGAGGATGAGGCACCAGAAATAGAAAATACTGCCACCTGCAGGTGGGAGTTAGCATCTATTCAACCCAATATTATTAACTATTTTTGTGGTAAATTTGCAATAAATTCACAATTATTCTGAAATGCCAGACAACAAATGCCCAATTCTTGGTTTCACTTTCTCTTTGTGGAACTTTGTCTTTTTGCGTAAAATCCCAATGAAATGCTCTGAAGGCGCTCCGTTGCAGCTGGAAGCTCCAGATGAATATTTTTAGATCCTGACTTTGTGAAGCACCCTCAGCTAATGGTGTTACAGCAAAACGTCGCAGTTTGCTTTTCACAGAGTGACAAATTACTTAGTGCAAAGCTATTACAGAGCGCTGCATCCTCACTGTTTATCTTTGCATGGGACTGTCTCTGTTCACCACCTCTGCTATGCTTCTTGTTACTCTTTAAGTCTCCATATTCAACTTTCATTCTCTCTGTTTTCGTGAAAGTTTTGGCTGATTTTCACAACATTTGGTGGATTTTTAGAAAACGTAAAAGGTTGTCATTGTATGGCAGAAAAGCTAAAAAATTGCACTCATTTTACAGTTTATATTATTTTTTAAATGTCTGAAATCTATCATTGGTTAATTAAGTATGACAACTGTAAATGGGAATTCTTGTGCAACTTTGTGATTTAAAAGGACATTGAGCCACAAAAATATTAAATAAGCATAAGTTAATTTTATCACACTGTGATTAACAACATGCTGTCTTACAATGGTGCATTAGGGCCACTAAGTGAAAAAAAGGGGAAAACTTAAAAGTTTTCTAAATTTCTGACCCCCAAAAAGTTGAAAATTTGCAAGAAAAAAAATTGTAACGTTTCAAACTCAGAAGTTTCAAAACTTTTTTTGCTAGAGATTATAGATTTCTGAGATTAATTTCAAAATTTATGACATTTTCTGACAAATTCTTCACTTTTCAAATTCAGAAATTTTCACATTTTCCTGAGAAAATTTCAGATATTAACATCACAATTTCTGAATTTTTGTTGAAAATATTTGAGTCAGAAATTACACATTTTGTTTCCCAGAATATTTCTGAGATAAATCCTAAAATTGTAATCTTCAAACTCAGATATTCCAAGTTACTTCTGGACTTAATCTACAAATTTCTGAGATTTTTGTGGCAAATTTTTGAAGTTTGAAACCCAGATTTTTTTCTACAAAATTCATGAGATTCATATCAACATATCTGAGGGTTTTAATTTAATTTTACTTTATTTTGTTTTATCTAAGATTTCTGGACTTTGATACAAAATTGCTGAGTTTTCTAGAAATTTTTTGTCTCTTCAAATTTAAATTTTTTTTTTTCCAAAAATTGAACTTAATCTCAATTTTTTGGGTGAGATTTTGTAGCAAATGTTCCACTTCCAAAACTCAAATATTTCAAATTTTTTTCTAGAAAAAAATTCAGTGATCAATCCCAAAATACTTGAAGTTTTTTTGTAAAAGAAAAATGTCAACTGTCCAAACTCAGAAATCTGAGTTGTTTTTTTGTTTTTAGAAAAAAATCTGAGTTGTTTTCTAAAATTTTGCTGAGATTAATCTGAAAATTTGTGAATTTTTTGGCACAAGTCTACTCCCTTTTCATGCCTGTGTTTTTTTTTTCAAGCTGATAAAAACACAAACAACATATTAAGAAAAAAAAATATCTTGAAAGTGTCAGTCAGATCTGGCAGCTCTCCGCCAGCCAGACAGAGGGACAGGTGCATGCTGGTGATGTTTGCGTCTCTCTGCCAGCTTTCTTCTGGTCCCCACCTCCCGAGGCAGGAACATGTCACTCCCGCTCTCTTTGTCGCCAGATTTAACAGCCTGAATTGTAGCTGTAGATATTATAGTGTAGCAACTGGGGAATGTGAGGCTAACGACTCGAGGATGTGGGCCTAATCGAGCCTGAAGCAGCCGCCGCTCCTCCCCCAAGTTCCAGCTGGGACTCCATTTTGTGCCTTTTTTTGGCTGCAGGTGCTACGTCACTGCTCAAAATTCAACCCACTCTCCTCCTCCATCTCCGTTTTCCTCCTTCCTGTTCACCTTTAGGCTCCCGACCTTGACAGAAAGGAGCATCTGGACTTTCTCACCCACAGCAGCTTGTAATCTCCACCAATCATTGACCTAATGGTGCATGTAAAACTGGTGAACTGGTGAAATTGGGTTCGCCTGAGCTAAACCTGCTCATAACAAAGCAGCGGCCTTGTTATGTAAAGGATTATTAGGACTGTAATGGAGCCAAAGAGCTCAGACTGCAGAGTAAACGCAGTCAGAGAGTCAGATTAACGGTTTATATTTGTTTCTAATAAGTGATTTGTAAAAGTACAGGATGTTTTTGTTTACTATGAAAAAAATGTTAATACCTCTGTAATCATTCATTTCAGGATATATTTGTAAAATAATTCCTAATTTTTCTTCCTTTTTTACAGTGATTTTCTACTTTTTGTTGCTGTATCTCATAAAAACTGAAGAAGATGGATGGATGGATGGATGGATGGATGGATGGATGGATGGATGGATGGATGGATGGATGGATGGATGGATGGATGGATGGATGGATGGATGGATGGATGGATGGATGGATGGATGGATGTCATTCATCTAAGCTGCTGGTCGTTCTATGGAGAGCCAATAACATCTAAAATATCATCTTGACTTCCACATCTATCACCAAAATATATGACAAATTGGCCTGCCATATTTTTCCTCACCAGTTTAAATTGAGTTTCTTCCTCTAATATTTTCCACTAACACACTAGATGCTCTTTATCAGAGCTGGTGGTCGCTTCAGACACCTGTCTCTATCACTAAGCAATCAAAGAAATCCTCCCTCAAAGCTTTTCAAGGCAATTCTTTCTGACTGCAATATGGCGGCATGTGATTGACCCGTAAATGAGCCACCAGGGGGCAGTGTTGCACCCAGAACAACCTTTAGCTGGAAAACTTCTAAATAAATCTCTTTTTTCTCGTTTTTGGTCGTTTTTCAGTTTTTTTCCTCACTTCCTAAGCAGCCCAAAATACACAGGAAACATTTATTAATTGTATTTGCGCTTCACTGTTTTAAAAACGGCGAACAATAATAGATGCTGATCTCAAATCCTCACAATTACAGCATTTTCTGCTCCATCAACAAGTCTGGAGGTGCTCTCCATCTGGTTGTCACTGATAAGAAACTAACTGCAGGCAGCTGGATAATAGTCGAGCAAGCTTAAAAGCAGAGAAGGAGGAGGAAGAGGAGGGAGAGCATCATGCATTCTGGGGGACCCCATAGAGAAAAAACCCCCCCGGCCCCCTCAATGTGAATGATGGGGCTGGAGGGGGTGGGTGGGGACGACATGCTGGCAAACATAATTCTGCATGAATGTGGGGAACAAGATGGCTGCAGTGGATGTGAGTCACAGCATGTTTACAATAAAACCTGTGAGTCACATGGAGAGGGATGCAAAGCATAAAGCGACCTATTTCTGCTCTATGCTTTAATAGGCAAAACATTGATAAAATGCACAAAGCTCTGTTTCTAATTCATGAGCATTTTTAAAGCTGCATCAGATTCTGATCTGGCTCTCTACCCAGAAACTAACCTGCGGACTCGTGTGACGCAGAGTGACGCAGACAAACGTGCAGAAATGACGTCACGATGGAACCCCAACTCCACCGTCCAATCAGAGTTGATTTCTGGTCCAGTGACGCAGGAAATATGAAAGGCACTGCGATCTGAATTTTGATTGTTTTTTCTTTTTTCTTTTAGTTTGATACACAAAAAGTCTGGAAACATGGGTTTCCATATTTATCTCAATGTTCTGTCTTCTTACACTTTGTCTTCAAGGTTACACTGAAAAAAAATCCTACTAACTAATAGGTCTCATAATCTGAGAGCAAATCAAGAGTTGAGAAATTACAATGCAAAGCCTCTAGGTATGAAGCTAAACTACCGATCTATGCTGATATCAATCTGATACTTGGTATCAATATCATCAATATTAGATGAAAAATTAGCAAATTTTTTATGATTAATTTGGAATAACATTCCAAAGAAATCTGCAAAAACCAAACTGTGAATAGTGCGGTGCGTTTTTGTTTTGTTTTGTCTTGTAGCCTTTTGCTAACACTCCTTCATTCAACGCAGAAGATTGGAAAAGAACGGTGTCTCCATAGTTAACAACAATTAGACACGTACCTTCTCCATAATGTGATATTTGATATCTTTAATCATTCTTTCTTACAAATTATATGCATACTAAGCTATATTAAGCAAAGGGTCCTTTTCATTAATATAAACCCACCTTATGCAAAAAAACAAGAAAAGACAACAAAAGAACAATCATCGGCTCATAATGAGCAACTTTCACCAAGTTGATGCAAAACTCCCATCAGGATTTACATCACAACTCCTACTCACTGCTCTGTTTGGACTGTGACTCACTGTTTGGTCCGTTCGAGTGCCAGTCATGAACTCTGCTGATTGCACTCATGTGGGATAAAAGGAGTTTGGGTAAAAATGGTCAAAACCACTTCACTGGTTGAGTCGTACTTTCTTCGTTTAGTTAGATTTATGCAAAAGGTCGGGTTGTTTGCAGTCAAGGTTTAACTTTAAGTAAAACAGAGCATGTTTTCTGACTGAAAAAGGTGCTGATCTAAACAAATGTTTCATTTGTTTAGCAGAAAATTAGCATCACTCAAAAATAAAAGAAGAAAGAAGTGGATAGCAAATATCAACTAATAAACAAATGCATTTATTTTGTTATGCATAAAATCACATTCATTGGTGATTACAATTGATTTTTGTT